CCTGGGCAACCTGATCAAGCTGTGGATTGTCTCTGTTCATTGCAGGGGAGTTGGACTAGATGACCTGTAGATGACCTTTAATGATCTTTTCCATCTCTAAGGATTCTGTGATTCTAACAGCGCTGCCATCATAGACGGTGGCAAATAGCCCATAATTGAAACTGAAGCGTGAATGTAGAACTGTGTAACATGGTTGATGATGTGGCTGTTGGAGGTAAGAAATTGTATGTAGAGCACATGCAGTTTTTCTGAACTGAAAATATGGATTCGTTTTAAGACAGAAATTTGTTGGAATGAGACAATTAAACAGTAGGAAATACAGTCATCTTGAGTGTAAGTAGTAATTCATCTCTTTATTTAAAACCTGTACCTTTGCTAATGTTTTTTTGTTTTGCTGTCTTGATTGTTTTATTTATAACTGTTACCTAGGAATCTATTAGATGGCTGGAAGATGAAAAAGCACTTCTTGAGATGACGGAAGAAGTGGACTATGATGTGGATTCTTATGCTACCCAACTTGAAGCAATTCTGGATCAAAAGATTGATATTCTGACTGAACTTAGAGGTAGATCACTTTTAATCACTTTTGCTTTATTAGCAGTGCGTAGTTTGGGCTTGTATTTTGGGATATTTTTCCTCTTACACTGTCATGTACATTAGAAGAAATGATTGTTCTGCTGCCTAGGAAAAAGTTCACATCTATGTTCCAGTCATTCTAGTTTGAAAGAAAAATCTCTGTTACACCTCCAGGAAGTATGAACTTGTTTCTGTAACTTCCTTTTCCTTTATTCCAAAATGTGAAAGAGAAGAAAAAGAAAATGCAAAGAAGATGCACAAAAAAAAAAAAAAAAAAGTAGTTTCAGGATCTGTGTTGGGCATAGGCATATTGGTACTCATTCTCTCTTTTTCATTACAGATAAAGTGAAATCTTTCCGAGCAGCTCTCCAAGAGGAGGAACAGGCCAGTAAACAGATCAACCCAAAAAGACCACGTGCCGTTTGAAAGGGGCCTTTGCTGCTAAAGGAACCCACGAACCCATACTGCTGTAGCACACATTTGTTACAAAACCCAGTGGCCCTAAGAACTCAACTACTTGAAAGTGTAAAAGCGTTAGAAATGTCTGTGGAAATGTCCTGTTTCTTATTCACCTGAGTGACATTTTCAATTTTGTGTGAAATGCTCCTATGATGTCTACAAAATGCTTCTAGACCAGACAGCACAACCATGCAGGGTTTAGATCTGTGAAGCACTTTGTTTAAAATATTTCATTTATTCAAATTGTGAATTTTATGTTGGGAAATATTTGCCATGTTTTTAACAATGAAGTAAAACTGTGGCTATTAAAAAATCACAGTATTTCCATATTACTACGTTCGGATTTGTTACAGAGATCAGCTGTGTAGTTTTAAATTGTGTTTGCTTGCATGCTCACCTCACTAGTGGTTGTACATAACTTCTCTTCTGCAGATAGCTGTGCTTACCACTTCCTGTTCTGTGCCTTGATGAAGGCTCCTTAACCCTAAACATCCCCCTTCTGAAGCACAGCTTTAAGCAACATTCCTTATTTTGTCAATATAAATTGCTTTTAGCGTATGTACATTTTTAATGTCTTTTGAAACTTTTTTTTGGTGAGTAGTTCATTCATTTCACAGAATGTGCCATATCATTTGAACAGGAACTGTAAGAGCTGTTAGAGTGGACGAACAGCTGGACATTCCATCCTCCTTGTAAAAATATGGATTCTAGATTTATCTGAAAACCATGAAGTATGGTTATATAACACTTTTCTCAGTTAAAAAAAAAAAAAGAAAAAAAGAAAAAAAAGAAAAAAAATATAAATTAGTTGATGTATAATAAAGGGTAATGTCTAAGTACCGAGGAGAGTTGTATCTTAGGATAATGCAGATATGCAGCATGTGGTATGGTGTGATAATGCTGTCAGAATAAAGGTACAATCTTACCTCTGTGTATGGCTAGGATAACTGTCAAAGTTTGGGGATCTAGCTAAATAAATACATTTTGGGGATCTAGCTAAATATACTGGCCTTTCACATACTGTTAAATTGGCTTTTGATGCATGACAGATTTACATGTACATTAACTGTAGTTTGCAGGTAGTTTGAGTAGCTCTGTTGCTTTAAAAATAGTAGCTAATACCTATTTTTCCCTTTGTATGCAGTGCCAGCAGCTGAAAAGTGGTGTGAAATTGCATCATTTAAGGATTTGCACAATACCTCTACCTAGTGCTAACAGGAATTCCTCAAGTAACTAAATTCTCACAAATGGCGCCATGTGTATCAGCACTTCTTGGCTGGTGGCACTCAAGTTACTTTGTGTATCCAAAAGAGATTGACCTTTCATGTAAGAACTTCTCATCAGGTGAAGAGCTGTAGACCTCTCTAGGAGTTCTCCCTGTTTCCAGGAGTTTCTATCAGCAGACTTTCCTGGGAACTGCTGAAACATTACTTTTGGAATACAAGCCTGTTTGCTTGTGTAAGGCCTAGAGGGAAATAAAGGGAAGGCAATGAAAAGAGAGTTAAATGAGCCAGGAATTCTTGTGGTGTTTAATGTTTGTATCTCCCATAGGAAGGTAGGCTATGGGAAGCTCTTGTCGCATCATGGTTAAAAGAATCAAAAAAACCTCTTGTGTGTAAACATGAAAACTGAAGAAAAAAAAAAAAAAAAAGCCAATGTAGATTTTACATAATGTGTTTAATAAATTAAGCTATTAAATGAACTACAAATGAGAATTCTATCGAAGTTCTGTTCCGTTTTGGAGAGGGTGGTACTTTGAAAACGTGTGAGTGGCTGCACTTCTGAAAAGGCCTCTTGATTTTTGATTTTTTGAACTTTCTGTTTTGAGACAAGAATTGGAGAATAGGCTTCAAGACTGTTGAAAAAAATTAACGTCTTGTGACTCCATTTTCAAGGCATTATTTGCAAATTTTCAAATGGAATGTATGGAGTTGCAATCCAAAGTTCAACTCAAAAATCCAGCTCTCTTTACCAGACTTCTATAAGCCTTATCTTAGCAGAGATAAATATCCCCTGCTTCACAGTCATGCCTCATTCATGTTGGCACTTTTCACAGTACTTAGATTTGTGAAAAACTATTTTCAGGGACAAAGCATGGGAAGAGTAAAATTTCATCACAAATCTGACAAACGCCTTGAGAGCTCACTAAGATTTGCAGCCATTGCCAGTGAACTAGGGGGATACGTTAGTTTCACAAAAACAGGGTCATGTACCTCACTATTTTTGTTGTTAATTGCTCGCTATGTTTTGGTAAGAAATATTTTAAAATACTTCATTATTGATGTACAAGTACTTATATTTTATATGCGGCCCAAGATAATTCCTGTTCACTCAATGTGGACCTGGCAACCAAAAAGTTAAGACACCCTTAGGTTATTTTGTAATACCAGAGAGTTTGAGTTTCTCTAGAGAATTCTTAATTTCTAGAAGAACATCTGAAGATCATGATATGGAATTACAGAATGACTCGGGTTGGAAGGGACCTCAAGGATCACCAGTGTCATCCCAACTGCTATGGGCAGACACCACCCATCTGATCAGGTTGCCCAGGGCCCTGTCTAGCTTCCTTGAATACCTCCATGGATGGAGCATCCACAGCTTCTCTGGGCAGCTGTTCCACTGCCTCACTGCCCTCTGACCAAAGAATTTCTTCTTAGCGTCTAAAGGTTTTTTGTTTAAATCTGCTCACCCTTAACTATCACCATCTGCCTGCATAAAAGTCTCTTCTGTTCATAATCTCCTCTCAAGTACAGGAAGGCTGTGATTGTCTCCTCCCAGCTTTCTCTTCTCCAGGCTGAGCAAGGAGACCTTGTTTCCCCAGCCTGTCCTCATAGAAGGGTGTCTCGCTCCAATTTATAGGAGGGAGATGAGGTTCTTTCAATATCCGTATACCCGGCGTGAGATTGAGAAACAACGGTTCACATGTTGGTCCGACCAGTTTACTACAAAACCTAAGCAGGGAGACGGGGAACGGAAGGAGGGCGATAGAAAAGATGGGAAAGAAGAAGGAATTGCATAAAGTAGGGAGAGTCACCATCAGGATCCAGCAGCGGTCCCGTTGTACGGCGGATGCAGCGGGGGGCGGGGAGCAGCAGCGAGGCCGGCCTTGGGCAGCAGGCAGGTAGTGAAGGAAGTCGAGGAGCCAATCCTTGAAGCTGCAGCAGCGCTCAGGCAGCAGGCTCAGGAGAGTTCGACTGCATGAAGGAGTCACCTCACGAGGAATCTGATGGTCAGGAATCCTCGATCTGTGTCCTTCAGACAAAGGATTTCACAATCCTTGCTCGGGACTTGAACAAGTCCATCTGTGTCCCCTGCAAGCTTTGAGACACAGACGTTAACAGAATAATATCTTACACCACCCCATGACTCAAAGGTTGCTTTAAAATGGGACACAGATGATCCACAATGGTGAGAAAAGGATAGCAAGCATAAAGGTAAAGGAGGAAAGGGGGCAAGGAATCAAATACATAATACAATCATTACAAAAGATTCCTCAGGCTGGGCTCTCATGTGCTTGACTTCCTCATCAGTAGAGGAGGTTACAATCTACATAGGTGATACAACACATTTTATAAAACACGGAAGCATACAATTAAGAAACATAAGAGTTGCAACAGCACACAGTATCAACTTGCCACAGACACCACTCGGTGTTACCTCGGGAGTGTAACGAATGTTATATGATTGATAAAAAGTAGAAAGTGAAAAGAGGCAACCGTACATTTGGCAATAACCAGTAACAAATAAATATAACAAATAGAGATACAACATTACCACCCACAACAACACAAAACACAGTACTTTTGCAACCAAAATACAAAATGTAATCAAGAGGTATATTCAGTACTCTAACATGATCAAATTTTCAATATTTCTGTCACAAAACATTAGAGTCCTTTTTGTGTTCAGTCAAGGTCCGTAGGAGTATTCTGAAAATAAAACGAGACACCGACTTGCCCTTTTTTTTTTTTTTTTGAGGGGGGGGGGAGGGGACGCTTTGTTAATATGATTAAAAAATGAGGGAACAATCCAGCAAGTGTTAATTTTATATTCCTTCTTCGGGATGTCCTTGGCCTTCCAAGGATATTTGTTAAGGTATCCCGTTAAGGTTAAGGAAACCAGCCTCAGGTTAGCTGAGCCAATCGACACAGGCTGGCCCGGGAGATCAGTGTTTCCCTTTGTTGTGAGCTTTCTAATACAACCACCCTTCACCGCCCCCACCCCGCTCACTTGGGAGGGGCGGAGACATCAGTTTTCTAATGGCTTGGGTAGCCGTTCAGGTTCCCTGGGAGAGGCCCTAGGACCTGGGGTTTTGCTTTCCTCAAGATTCTCGAGCTTTTGTTCTGGCCACCATTTAACTAATTTCTCTAACCTACCTGTTGTCAATCCATCCATCAAATTTCGTGGAATACCCTTTTTCCAGTCCAGTCCAAACGCAAAGTCCATTACACTTATGAAAGATATTCTGTCTACCGGTTTTTACTGGCAATGAGACCCTTCCAGACCCACTGAGCTTAGGGCGAGAGGTGGCCTGGGGGCAAGACTGGCTGCTGCAAGCCTTACACCTCTAGGCTTGGATTTACTGGGAAAAGAAACCACAGGCCCATATTTTCTTCCACAGTTAATTAACTCTTGGGTACCTCCCCCCACGTCCATACTTTGCATCCTGACTGCAGATGTTTGGGGGTTACAGTTTCTTCTAACACTGCCCGGGTTCTTTCTCCCTGTGACATAGCTTGTATCCTTGCCTGTAATTGTATGCCTATGGGTTTCAGTGATTCCGGAAGCCCTCTAATTAAAGGGGTCATTCTCTCAGGATCAACGGGCATCACCATGGGTGATTCATGATGTGGCTGCAGCTTTCTATCATACATCAGTTGGAGACAAGCAGCCTTTTGAACGCTCTCTACTAATTGGTCAGTAGTTCCAGTAATGGCAAGAGGGTGTCCCCTTTCTAAAGGGTTGAGACCACCTGCCCAATAGGCAGCCCTTTGCGTTAATGACCAGGGAGCACGATTGTTACCAGTAGTTAAAAATACTCCTGCTGCCCAATAACCTTCTGCTTCCTTTTCTGTTAACTGAATCTGGTCGCCACCAGTGAGACTCTGCCTCCATACATATTCTGTTTCTGATTCCTCTGGAGAGCAGCTAAAGTCCTTTTTCAGTTTTGCTAGTTTGGTGGCCGAGAACGGAATTTCCTTCACATTCATTTGAGGATCTAGATCCTCGCTGTTATTGAAGGTATATTCTGTTTTTATCAAGGGATGCAATGGGGCTATTGGGGTTTCTAATTCGTCTAGTCTTTCCTTTATTTCTTGTAGTTCCTCCTGAGGAAAAGTTTTTTCTTGAGGCAAACTCGGGGTGACAGTATTGCTAGTATCTTTACTAGTTAACAGTTCCTTGAAAGCCATCTGCAACAAGGCCGAATTATGTTTCTCTCTTTCTAGTTGTTCCTCGAGATTAACTATTTGATACTGCGGAGTTTTTACCAATTCTTGTGTAACTCTAACCGACTCCTGTAGTGCTTCTACGGTTTGGAGTTCTGCTGAATGCTTTTCATTTCGAAACTCCATGGCAGCTTTTAAAGCAGCCCCGAGAACAGCACAAATAAACGCCTTTCCTTTTCCAGCTCGTGAACGAGCCTCATTCTGTAAGACACTAATGCGGTCCGAAACGCTCTGCAAATTATGCCAATTTTGGCATGCCCAGTCCACCCCTGACAAACAGGGACGAGCACCATGCTTTTCTAAAAGGTCAAATAACACATCTTCACTTTTCATACTGGCAATACTGTTATTCATATCTTAATACAATGAAAGGTCTACACTAAGGGAGGAGCAGGTACATGTATTCATAAACTCAGTTACTCCTTACCGCTCCTCCCAGGGAAATAGACCACACCTAAACAAATGCAAATGCTCCAATCACGCCTCCCTTTCGTTGAGGGGAGCACACAAAGACAAGAGGCTAAAAAAAAAACCTGTAAACACCACACCTAAGTTACAGTTCACTCCTTGCAATTCCAGGAGGTGCACACAGCTCAAACCACTCCTCCCTTTCTTTGGGAGGAGCACAAAAAATGTGAAGCTAAAGCAACATTTTCTAGGTTTCAGTAGAGTAATTAAAACTTCTCGGAGAGGCACAGACGTTTAAGTCACAAAATACCACTTCCTCACTTCCCCAAGAGGCGCGCGCACACACACACACACACACACACACACACACACACACACACACACAAAAGGTTCAAGTTTCACACTTCAGTTACCAAATAACCAGAAAGGTCTTCCCGAGGAGGCACACACGTATTAAACAAAATGTAAGTATTCAAAATACGTCCCTGAGGGGTACACACATAAAAGGTAAAGTTTCAGAATATGGAGCGGTCTTCCTTGAGAAGGACTCACGTCTAAATTTTCAAAACTATCGCTCCTTGCAACTCCAGGAGGTGCACACAAACAAAAAAAGTTTCAGACTATATCTGGAAGGACAACACTCTCACAGCGGGTATCCTGCAGACTACGCCAATAATAAAATGTCTCGCTCCAATTTATAGGAGGGAGATGAGGTTCTTTCAATATCCGTATACCCGGCGTGAGATTGAGAAACAACGGTTCACATGTTGGTCCGACCAGTTTACTACAAAACCTAAGCAGGGAGATGGGGAACGGAAGGAGGGCGATAGAAAAGATGGGAAAGAAGCAGGAGTTGCGTAAAGCGGGGAGAGTCACCATCAGGATCCAGCAGCGGTCCCGTTGCACGGCGTTTGAAGGTCCCAGGCGGATGCAGCGGGGGGCGGGGAGCAGCAGCGAGGCCGGCCTTGGGCAGCAGGCAGGCAGCGAAGGAAGTCGAGGAGCCAATTCTTGAAGCTGCAGCAGCGCTCAGGCAGCAGGCACAGGAGAGTTCGACTGCATGAAGGAGTCACCTCACAAGGAATCTGATGGTCAGGAATCCTTGATCTTCTTCGTGAGGAATCATATTGTCATAAACCTCCATTCTTCATGAGGAATCTGCTGCCAGAAAACCTATCCTCATGGTTTTCAGTTCCTCTTTTGTCCTCCTTGCTCTCCTGCCTATGTGATAAGGATGGGCCTTGAGTAAGAGTCATTGAGTACCCCCTGAAATGGCCATCATCCTGAGATCTGGTCCACACAAAGGAGCACTTCACAGCTGTTTAGCTGCAGCTCATCTCGCTCTCGTTGCCCCTGGCCTTGTCCATCAGCATCCCCCAAAGGATCTCACAACCTTTGCCCAGCACTTGTCTGCACTTGTTCATCTGTGTCCTTCAGCCAAAGAATTTCACAATCCTTGCTCGGGACTTGAACAAATCCATCTGTGCCCCCAGCAAGCTTTGAGACACAGACGTTAACAGAATAATATCTTACAAAATAGACTTAATGCTTGCTTTTACTGTGGATAATTTTCTGAAAGTAAATTAGTTGAATCTCTGTACCTTGACAGTGCTTATGAGTGGGTGTGATGTTATTTTACACAACGTAGTCTAATGAAAAATTAGTACAGGGTGTTTAGATAATGTGCATGGAAATTACCTGTCTGTATTTGCCGCCTTTTATTCGTGTTTCTCTTCTTTTTTTAAATGCTTTCAGATTTTCATGGATCTCAACAGTGCAAGCAGTGTTGTTTTGCAAGTCTTGACCCAAGCTACTAGTCAAGATACTGCAGTGCTGAAGCCAGCTGAGGAACAACTGAAGCAGTGGGAGACACAGCCAGGCTTTTACTCTGTCTTGTTGGTAAGATACAGTGGGAAAAGTGTTGTTTCTTAAATTGTCAGCAAGTTGAGGGTGACTTTTTAGAATGGTGTTGGATAGTGACGTCTGGCTACGGGTGGCATTGAGTTGTCATGGTCCAGCTTGCTGGTGTCCTTACACAAGCAGTGCTTGGCATTGTCCTCACTGTCTCTGAGGAGATTTGATTCCCAGGCATTTAGGTAAGGGAGAAAATAGAACTTCTAGCAGCATGACTGGTTGAGCCTCTAGTGCTCCCACACTTCCAGAAAGGTGTCCTTAAACAGCTGCCAGCTCTGCTCCATTCCTATACTCCTAAGCAGAGTTGTTTCCCAGGGGATCTCATCCACTAACTCCTTAAAAAGCTGTGGTTCACTCTCCTGAAGTTCAGGGTCCTGCTCTTTGCCAGGCCCATACTTCTCAAGATCGCAAACTGCCAGGACATGGTTGCTATAGTCCAGACTGTCTCCAAACTTAACCTTTGCTTCCCTACTATTCCTCTGTACAAACCTAGAGACACAGCCAGTGTGTACCATAGTGGGTACCAAAGAAGACATGCAGAAAAGAGGCAATTAAATTCCACCTACTTTCACTAATCCTTGTGAGTAACATAGCCTGTACCAGATAAAAGCTGAAATTCCATCTAGTATCCATTCAGAGAACAACTCTGTGATAGATCCTGCTGCACTTCCTGGATCTACAACAAAACTGAAGCAGTATGAACAAATGTAAGCAACCAATGTGACACAGTGAATGACGTGGCCCACTGCTATGGTGGACGGGGAGTACTTGACTAGGACAATCATATTCTATTTCCTCTGCTGTAAAGCAGCATTGAAACACGATGTACCAGAGAAACATCTGTTCCTTCTGTATCACCTGTGCATACTGCTGTTGCTACATAACCATAATTCATAAGAGGTTCTACAAGCTAGAATTGTTAAGTTAGGAAACAAGTAATTCAGTTTTCTGAAACACTCCTTCCTGCACATGCATGTACCTGAATCACTGATTTTAAGAACTCTGTGAAATGAAGGTGAATTTTGAAGTACTTTTTGGTTATCTTTCTTCTCCATTTACTGTGGTCTTATAGAAGATGAGAAATACCACACTAAACAAATGACTAATATTAGTTAATAGTTAAGCTGTCAGCTCTGCACGATGCCACAGTGCTATAATTACCATTTTCCTGAGTCTTAGGACAGATCAAAGTGGATAATGGCTGTTGTGTAGAGTTAACACAAGCTTCTTTGGGAAAACTACACCTTGTCCATAATAACAGACATGTAATCAAAACATTAAATGGCTTCACTCAGTTAGGATACACAAGTCATGACTTTGAGGCTCAATGAAAGGTCTAAGCTATGTTAAAACTCCCTGTTTTCTTACAAAAGTAGCTTCCTGACTTCACAGATTCACAGAATCATAGGGGTTGGAAGGGACCACCAGAGATCATTGAGACCAACCCCCTGCCAAGGCAGGTTTCCTACACCAGGTTGCACAAGCAGGTGTCCAGGCAGGTCTTGAACATCTCCAGAGAGATTCTCCTGGAGAATATTTTCAGAGGAGACTCCACCACCTCCCTGGGCAGCCTGTTCCAGTGCTCCGTCACCTCACTGTAAAGAAGTTCTTGCGCACATTGGTGCAGAACTTCCTATGCTGCAGTTTCCAGCTGTTTCCCCTTGTCCTGTCTCCACTCACCACTGAAAAGAGTCCGGCCTCGCCATTCTGCCCCCCACACCTTAGATATTTATAGACCTGGATCAGGTCCCCTCTCAGTCTTCTTTTCTCAAGGCTGAACAGACCCAGTTCACTCAGCCTTTCTTCATAGCAGAGATGCTCCAGGCCCTTCACCATCTTTGTGGCCCTCCGCTGGGCTCTTTCCAAGAGATCCTTGTCTTTTTTGTACTGGGGTGCCCAGAACTGGACGCAGTACTCCAGATGAGGCCTTACCAGGGCAGAGTAGAGGGGGAGGATCACCTCCCTCGACCTGCTGGCCACGCTCTTTTTAATGCACCCCAGGATGCCATTGGCCCTCTTGGCCACAAGGGCACACTGCTGGCTCATGGCCAACCTGTCGTCCACCAGGACACCCAGGTCCCTCTCTGCAGAGCTCCCCTCCAGCAGCTCATCCCCCAACCTGTACTGGTGCATGGAATTATTCCTCCCCAGATGCAAGACTCTACACTCGCTTCTGTTAAACCTCATCCGGTTTTTTTCTGCCCAGCTCTCCAGCCTGTCCAGGTCTCGCTGAATGGCAGCACGGCCTTCAGGCATGTCAGCCAATCCTCCCAACTTCGTATCATCAGCAAACTTGCTGAGGGTGGCCACTATCCCCTCATCAAGGTCATTGATGAAGATGTTGAACAAGACCGGACCCAGCACCGACCCCTGAGGAACACCACTGGTTACAGGCCTCCAACCGGACTCTGCACCGCCAACGACGACCCTCTGCGCTCTGCCAGTCAGCCAGTTCTCAACCCACCTCACTGTGCACTCATCTATCCCACAAGACAGTTGACTAAAAAAAAAATCTGTGGATTCTGGCCATGCATTAAGACTGCCGGTCAGCTGGTAATTTTCTGCTAATTCCTACGAAGGATCAAAAGCACTAAGACAGTTGATAGAGGAAATATCGACCTCAGTAGCTTATACAAAGCCCATAAGACAAATGCTCTTGTTTCTGAAAAACACTTAATGGGATTTTCTTAACAGTACTAAGTTGCTAACAGACTTGGAATGCCATTGGTTCCTGGAGGACAAATGGAAGACGTGGTCATTTCAAATCAAAAGGAAGCATTTAACTGGAATTACTACATATCCATTTTTGTTGCCAGATCAGATTCTACCGTATTGTAGGAATATACTGAGATGAAGTTCATGATCAGAGAATACAGACTTAAGTTATGGCAGTATCAATCCCCGTGTCATTGAGTATACTGAAAAATACAGTTTTGTGTCGAAGTCCAGCTCTTCAGCCATGAACGAACTGAATGCATTTAAAATATGGAGTAGTATCTCCTCTTCTGTTGTCTGTGATAAAATAGCACATCTTATTCTCAATGGGAATCAAAATGTGAACGCTGTATTCTGCTGCTTTTGTGAGAAGAGCTTCTCCCTTTTCAGTCACGTGGGATTAGATAAGGCTTACAGAATAAGTACAGAAGATCTTTCACTCTTCTGGTAAAGTCTACGAGAAATGGATGCCTTCTGAGTTGAAGCCATGCAAGAGTCTGAAAAAAGTGAAATATTCATGTCACAATTTCTATTAATTTATACAGCAGATTAAATCATTTCTAAGACATGCTTACTAGCATTCACGACAGCACAAAAGCATCCATAATTAAATACAAGAAAGAACTGTTACACTGTTATATTGGAAATTACTACTAAGTTTGCCACTTTAGTGCTACAGGTACATTTCCAGTCCAGTTATTTATGTTGCATCCTACCAGGTTTGCTACATCTCTGTAAAGAGCAGTTACAGCATTGACTGTTACACTGACAAACAAGCAGGAATTTTAGATGATTCTTGCTCCAACTTGGAGTTAATAGCCAGAAGCCAGACAATATAGTAGGAAATTACAAATATTTCCAAATTACGGTACAGATTAAGGCCCAATCCTTAAGTAAGGGCTGTGCAAGCATGCAGAAAAGTGACATTAGCAATTACGTTCCTCGAGGCGTTTGTAGAAGAGATGTAGAAGTGCTTAGTGCAGACATTACAGGAGCAGGGATCTTTATCTAGTTGCTTACAAATACTGTAAACAGCAGTTAAAACTCTATATGTATATAAACGCTTCATGTTCAGATTGGAAAGAAAAGAGTGTTTGGCATTCAGAGGAATGCAGGGATGCTACTTTTCCTATGTGACCCACTATTAATCTGTTCAGCATAGGTATAGAAGCAGGTGGAATCTGAAGAAGCTTAGAAGGAAGACAGAAAAGAATTACCGAATGAAATCATCTATATCCATGGAGCGGGCTCGTTTTTCAGAGTAACCTGTATCTTTTAGGACTGTCTGTATTTTCTCTGAAATTTTGAAATTTTCAGGTATTTCCTGGCAATAGAAAAAAAAGGATTCAAATTACTTTTCTAGTCAAAGCACAGAAAAATATTAACATTATTTCCCTGCTTTTAGACCTGCTTCTTTTAAGCAATGTAAGCTGTACTTTTTTTTTTTTTTCTATGGATTACTGTATTCCCGTGTCTGAAATTATACCTTAGCCCATTCGCTATAAATGAATCAGTAACAGCATTGTTAATCTGACACAAGGTTTTCTTAGCAGGCTGTGAGGTCAGTCCTTGAGACACGTACAGCCACTGTATTAACAATGTCCTCAGATTTAATCTTTTTTCACTGCAATTTAGGAACAGTTTCAGATTTTTCTTTAAGAAAAAAAGCTAAATTTCTCCCTTCCCAAAACTGTCTCAGACATGCTTTTGCATGTCGAGCCTTTCCATTGTTATTTTTTTATTCTTACAATATTAGAGTTTAGGTCACAACTCACAGGCTTAAAATTTGATGTATTAAAAAGGAACTTACTGCATTATGTAAGGAACAATGAATTCGGTAGTTGTGATCCAGCAACTGCTCTACAGCACTTGACCTAAAGGAAATGTAAATCTAGAATGAAAGCTGATCTTTATTTTTTTGCCTTTCTGTTAGACTTTACTATAAAAATAAACTATTGATGACATAGAGTTGTTCTTTTTAAACAGATGCCTGTTAAAGGGTTACCTCCTAAAAGTTTCATTTTGTAAGAGTTTGTGACCACAGCATAAACTCTCCTTCAAAGTTTATTCCAGACTCTGATGGCATGCATTTAACACTGCCATGCACTTTCACAAAGTGAATGGTGAATTGGATGAACTCTCAAACTTTGAAAATTTTTTCTCGAATAGAAGTTACTTACTTGAAGGCTGCAGAGAGGGTCTTGTTTTTCCTAACAAAGGCTATCCTTACCAGACCATCCCATTCCTGAAATTGAAGTGTACAATCCTTACTGAAAGGAAAATACAGCTGCTACAATCAGAAACAAACACTTGATAATTTTGCAACCCTAAATGATCTTTCAGGAGAGTATCTTTCTTAAGAATTTCGTGAAAAAGCACACAATCTTGGACAAAGTAATACAAGTTGAGGAGAAAAAAAAAAAACAACACTTCACCCAATAAAACCACTTGCTCTTTCCTGTGGCCAGGGCTTCCAGATGAAATTTTAAGTGCTGAAGATGCAAGATGCTTCAGAAATATTTGAATAGTGCTGGACAAGGTTGGAAAAGTCTTTAAAATCAAAACACTTCAAAAATCAACTCCAAAAACGTTATCTTGTAGCATCTATCTTCTGACACTGTAAAGAGTGACCTGAAGACACTCTTTTTATCATAAACAACAAAGCAATCAGCCAGAAGGGGGAGCACTATGAAAGGCACATTATGAGTTGCAACTCCCCCGCTGATACGGAGTTATTATCTCAATCTTGTCAGAAACAGAATCATAGAACAACTTACGTTGAAATGGACATTGAAGGTAACACATTCCAACTCAACTACCATAAGCAAGGACAACGTCCATGATATTGGTTACCCAGAGGCCCCAGCCAGCATGTCTGTAACATCTCCTTAGTTAGGACACACACATCTTCTCCAGGAAGCCTGTGCCAGTGCCTCACCACCCTCTGAGTAAAGAATTTCTTAACATCTAACTTAAATTTCCTCTTCTTTAGTTGAAAACCATTTTCCCTTGTCCTTTCTGAGTCTGTAAAAAGTGAGTCTTCCTCTTGTTTATAAGCTTTCTTTATGTAAAGGAAATGCTTTATGTAATGAGGTTTCCTCATAGGCTGAACCAGCTGAAAAAGCCCAGCTCCCCCAGCCTGTATTCATGGGAGAATCATTGAAGACATCAGGTCATTTTTATGGCCCTTCTGTTCTAAATCTGTCCCAACATCTCCACATCCTTCTTGTGTTTGGGACTCAAGAATGGATGCAGTATCTCAGGTGAGGCCTCATAAGGGCAGATCAAAGGGGGACATTCCCATCCCTCACCCTACTGGCCACCCTGTTGATGCAGCCCAAGATACACTTGGCCTTCTAGGTCACAAGTGCATGCTGCTGGCTTGCATCAAGCCTTTGCATCCTCAAGGATCCCCAGGTCCTTCTCTGCAGGGCTGCTCTCAAAGAGTTCTCTTCTCATAACGTACACATCTGCGATTGCCTCAACCCAAGTGAAACACCTTGAACTTGTCCTTATTGAACTTCCTTAGGTTCACAAAGGCCCACTTTTCAAGCCTCTCCAGGTCCCTCTGAATGGCATCCCTTCCTTCTGTTGTATCAACTGCACTACTCAGCTGAGTCATCTGCAAATTTGCTTGAGGGTACACTGGGACCTACTTTCTAGATTGCTGATAAAGATGTTGAAGAACACTGATCCCAAGATGTCCTGGAGGGAGACCACTCATCATCAGCCTCTACCTGGATACCGACCTGCTGGCCACAACCATACAACCAATTTCTTCACTGAATAATTCACCTTTCAAATCTACATCTTCCCAATCTATACATAAGAATGCGATATGATAGCATGTCAAAGGCCTTGAAGAAGTTCAGGAAGATGACATCATTACCCTTCCTTTGTCCATTGATGCTGTCACTCCATCCTAGAATTCCATTCAACTGGCCCTTGGACAAGTTATGCTGGCTGACTTGGATCACCTCCCTGTCTTGCATGCAAGATAATAAGTACTATGTTAAATTGTTAGTAGAGCATACGATGCTCACCTGGAAGTTGATGGGCGGTGGTGGGTTCTTTGGCTCTATTCTGACAACACTGGATTCAACTTTAGGAGGTGGCTTGAAGTTGTTTTTTCCAACCTGTTAGAAGTTAAGCAGCTTCATGATTAATATGCACATCTTCACATTCATAGAAACATAGTTTTCTCTTCAACAGCTTTGTTATGTAATGTATACCTTCATCAGATGGTCCACTCGAGCTAATAACTGAGTATTAATAGAAAGTCTGCAGTACAGCTTACTTCCTGGTTTTGCAACCAAACGAAGTGCAAATTCTCTTTGAAACATAAGTATTGCACACCTGGGAGAAACAGATATGACAAATAAATCCTAAGTTTAATCAACTTTTAAATCAAAAGCCAACTAGCAGTAAGAAAACACATCTTTTTCCCTCTCAGCACTTAAAGCAGTGCGCACACTTGCTTAATTAGCTCAGATTGTTCAAAAAAGCCTCAGTGAAATCAGTCAAATTGTTTCAGTGCTACTACAGAGTTTGATTATTTCAAGTGGATGAAGATCAAAGAGACAGGGACTAGTCTCAGAGTTCTGTGTGCGACTAACAAATAACTTTGAGTATTCCTATGACAAATCTTTCAAACCCAAGTTCTCTAACTCCAAAAACTGACCAGTAACATCACTAAAAGAAGTCTGTCAACGACATATTGAACTACACACAGAAGTACCTGGTCAGCTACATTTTTACACCTTATGGACAATAGGAAATGTCATGGCTTCAATTCTACCCTTATCAACCTTATTACCTAATGTAGGAAAGCATCTGAAATTTTACTATGCACTGCTTATCTCTGGAGTAACAATCAGTTGCAATTCTAGTGCAAACAGGAGAAATTCTTGAAGACTAAATCACCTCCTTGTGCACAACACAGTGACTAACCTACAGGCATCAGCAGTTTCTACATTACAAAAAACAAAGAAAGTAGGAGGCTTTTTCATCTACATGTCAATCCAGAGCATTGCTATTTCACATACCTGAAAAAGGGTCTATGAAGCAATAACTTGAAAACAAATGGTGAAGAAATCTGAGGAAAAGAGTACTAACATCAGTACAACTTCCCAGCAATTATGAAAAAAAAATTTTGTCACGTTGTTTAGTCTATACCTGGTAAGGCAAGTTGGCTACACATGCATCAAAAAATGGTAAGTCTGTTTTCAAGACATCTCCAACTTTGATTTCAAGTTTGTTTGCCAGACACCTAAAGAAAAGTACACTGGGGTTACCTTAAGTAAGATAAGCATGTTGCTAGTGTTTGCCAAAGCAGCTCCACTGCTTTAAGTTCACATAATTTCCACAGTTGATACTTACGTGCCTTGGACTCTTTTCTGAAGTTCACCCACAAGTCTGGGATCAATTTCACAAGCAATAACCTGAAAATAATGTATATATTTGCAATGCTTCATATGAACTCCTGACTGGGTCTAAAATTACAACTGTAAAACAGGTGCAAGCAAACGTTGCTAGAAGATTAAGCAGCTACTCAATATTTCCATCAGGCTATGTGTGGTTTTTTTCCGGCCTGTCTAAAATAGTCTAATCCCTGCTCATGTTCCCTACTAGAGGGAATGCTTGGTGAATTCTGCTTCACAATGACAGAAAGAGCTGACATCAAAAGATCAAAAAGCTATGAACGTCACAAGCCAGTTATCCCTGTGGTAACCCAGGTATCCCTTCAAAAAGTCAGAAGGATCATGAGGCTCTGCTTTCACGGCCTGTATTCTTACTGAAAATCAAGATCAAGCAAGCTTTTGCCCTCTGCAAAAACAGAGGTTTCTGCAGAAACCTCCTGGTTTCTGGCATCCCTGAGCTCGTTTTTAGGACATCTACATTACGCTTTGACATGCAAGAGATACAAGATAAATCGATAACAGCAATACAGTTTGACAAAAACATGTATGAATTACACAGACAAAAGCTCACTGGAATTATGCGTGTTGAGAAAAATATAAATCAGTTAGTTCTACTTACCTGGATGAGACAGCAAAAGACCCTTCTGTTTGCCACAGTCTAAGCCATAACATGATTTAAGTACAGGAGGAAGTCCACACTTACTTTTTTCACTTTCTCTAGCATCTTTACAGTCAGGTTACCAGTTCCAGGGCCTACTTCTAGAACAACATCTGTACGCCTCAATGCAGCCTAAGAATAAATAGCATCTCAGTATTTTTCTAAAACAAACTTGTAGCGGTCATTCAATTTTAAAATGGAAGGCATGTGCAGCTCAGTAAAAGCATGAAATGAACTAACAGACAAATATAAATGCAGTCTGAATGAGAAGGGGGAAAACAGTGAAAACAATAATGTCCTACAATTTAATTAAGTGGTGCTTTAGATGAGTACAGAAAAGTAAGCACATAGCCACCATTTTTAAGAAATGCAGTGAAATGTAAGTAGTACAAAAAAGCATCTCTGCAACCATAAAAAGGATGTAGAAAATAAAAATGCATGAAAGTGTGTTTTTAAGCAAAAATTCCTTCTGCTCCTGAGCCCAACTCTGAAGTTGAGCAACTCCCCCAGCCGCTGCCCTAACAGCACGCTGAAAGAACTTCTCAGCTCTCCGAGTGACAGCGGTTAGGTGCAGCAGGCACGGTGGGCACTCACTTCCCCTGACACACGCACCCACACCAGCACAGCCTCACCATTACTTTCACAGAACCCCAGAAGGGCTGAGGCTGGCAAGGCTCTGTGGGTCCACAACCGGCTCAACCTAAGCAGAGTGCCCAGGCCCACATCCAGCCTGCTTCCGGAGATCTGTAAGGAGGGGACCTGCCTCCTCACGTGCAGGCTGAGCAGTCCCAGCTCTCTCAGCGTCTCCCAGGAGGAAAGGCGCTGCTGAGGCGCTATGAGCTGAACACCTCGGGAGGGTAGAATTGTTCGGGTTCCGCGCAGGCACCTGACTGCCCAGCGGCCCCGCGAACACACGGACAGCGCCCTGGGGCACGCACCTTTTCGATGATGCTGTTGACGACGAGGGGGTTCTTCAGGATGTGCTGCCCGGCGCCGGTGTTGAATAAGATACCTGCGGGAAAGCCAGACGGAAAGCTCGCGCCCCGCGCCAGCCCGACCAGGAGCCGCGGCAAAGCGCGGGCGCTTTCTCCATTAAGCCCACGAACCCTCCGACGCGTCTCCGTGTCGACAGCCCGGCCTGCACTCACCGTTGGCGCGGCCCTCCTGGAGCTGCTGCCGCGGCCGCTTCTTTCCCTTTACTTTAGGCATGGCGGCGCCGCTCCGCACCGCGCGCACGTGCGGCCGCCGCGGGACGGCAGCCGGACGGCAGCTCCCGTCGGGCAGCGCGGCAGGAGCGCGTCACCGCGGCGCTACGGCGGCCGCGCGGGGGCGGAGGGGCGCTCTGGCGCCGCGGCTGCGTGCCGCCTCGTGCTGGGGGGCGGCCGCTCGAGCGCGGGGCGCGGTCAGAGGCCGGTCCGTCCCGTCAGGGCTTTCCCGTCGTCTCGTCCTCACAACGACATAACTCAGAGCCAAGGCGTTCCGTGCGGAGGCAAAGCATGAATTCCTGTCGTAACCACTCTGCCCCGCGCCACAAACACAACTCCGCGCAAAGCGTGAGCCTCCTCGAATCACGCCGCACCCGCCGAACGCCGCCCAGCCGAACGGCAGCAGAACGCCCGCCGCCCCCGCACAGGCCAGCCCGCGCCCACCTCGCGCACGCGCAGCGAAACGGCGCCTGCCCGGCTTTGCAGCGGGCAGAGCCCGTCCACGTCGCGCGGAGATGACGTGTGCGCGGCGCGCCGGGGAGGCGGGGTACCGCAGCTTCGGCGGCGGGTGCCGGCGTGTGGCGCGAGCTTCAGAATAGGCGGGGGCCGCGCGCACGCCCCGCCCAGCCGCGGTGTGCCGTGCCCCGCTCCCGCGCTGCCGCCGTCCCGCGGGTACTCCTCCGGTATGCAGGGCGAGGGAGCGGGCTGCTGGTGGGCGGGGCGCGGGGTGGAGCGGGGCGGCCTTCCGCGGCGTGGCGTGGCGGGCAGTGGTGGATAGGGAGGGGGGCGCGGCGCCGAGCGGGGCTGGTCGGTGCTGGGCCCGGCGCGCTGCCGTGTGGAGGCGGTAGGGGCCGGCGGCGTCCTGCGGGCGGGAGTGGGGCGGGACGAGCAGCGGGAGCGGCCTGCGCCGGGCGGGGGCGAGCCGCGAAGTTGCGCGGCGTCGTGCGGGGCTCTCCGGTGCGCCGTGGCGTCAGGCAGGTGCCGGTGCCGCTATCGTTACGGCGGGCTGCCGGGACAAGGACTCCGCGCTGCCGTCGCGCCGTCCGCCCGGCCCTCGGCGCCGCTGCCGGCTGCGCGCGGAACGGGTCCGACCGGGCAGCGGCGAGGGGACGGGGCGGCGCGCTGCGGGGAGAGCCGCGTCCTGCGGGACGGGGCGGGGCGGCCGCAGCGGTACACACGGCTGTTCTTCTTCCCGCAGGCTGACGTCGACGGCAAAGCAGCTTTTCCCCGAGTCGCACGGAGGGCCGGCGCGGCTGCGGTGAGTTCCGTCTCTCTTTTCTGTTGCTTCGCAGCACGTGCGGGGTGTTCTGAGCGCCGCCGCTGCCTTCGAGCGTCCCCATCCTCGAAACGGCGCTCCGAGAGGCGCCGGCAGTGCGTGGGAGCGCCTCCTGTGGTGTGCGCACTCCGGGGCTTCGACTTCCTGGAGCTCCGGTGCCCGCCTCTCCCGTCGTCACCTCTCCCGTCGTTGCCTGTCCCGCTCCATCGCTGCGCCGGCCTGCGGGAGATTGCTGCATGCCATAAATCTGTGTGTATGATGGGCTTATCGCTCAAAATAGATGTGTAAACTTTGGGAAGCGTTTCTTCAGATGTAGGTTTTAACTGTCTGCTGGAAAGGCTTCGTGTTAATTAATTTGATTAATTAACCAATTAATAATTAGTTTAATGCCCCTGCATGAGAGCAGGCTGAAACTTGCATTTTTATGTCTGCTGTTGCATGCTAGTTTGTTGTGAAGCGTTCAGTCTTGTTTATGAAATGGCAAAGGTGAGCTGAGTTTCAAAGAAGTTAGACGAATAAGATGGACTGTGTGAGTTAGGTAATCATGAGAAGTTTCCGATGGCTGGACAAGGGGGAACATAACCCTCATTTTCAAGAAGGGAAAAAAAGCCATGCAGGAAACTACATGCCAGTTGTTCTCACTTCTGAGACTGGCAAGACCATGGAGCAGATCCTCCTGAAGGCCCTACTAAAGCATCATGGAAAGTAAAGTGATTGGTGGTAACCAACATGGCTTCACCAAGGATAAGTCATGCCTGGCAAACTTGGTGGCCTTTTACAGTGGAGTTACAGCATCAGTGAAAGACGAGCAACTGATTTAATTTACCTGGCCTTGTGCAAAGTGTTTGATTTTGTCTCATGTGACATCCTGGTCACCAAAATGGAGAAAAATGAATTTGACAGATGGACCATTTGTTGGATAAGGAACTGGCAGAATGATTGTACTCAGAATTGTGGTCAGCACTCAATGTCCAAGTGGAAACTGGTGTCAAGTGGTGTTCCTCTCAGCCCAGTGCTGTTTAACATCTTTCTAGGCAACAAGGACAGTGAGATTGAGCGTACCCTCAGCAGGTTGGCAGATGACACCAAGCTGGGTGGTGTGGTTAACATACTAGAGGAAAGGGATACCCAGAAGGTATCTGGGTCCAGAGGGACCTGGACAGGCCTGATAGATGGGCCCCTGCCAACCTTTTGATGTTCAGTGAGGTCAACTGCAAGGTCCTACACTTGGGTCAGGGCAATCCTAAGCAGAGGCAGAGTTGAGTAGAGAATGGCTTGAGAACAGCCCTGAGGAGAAGGATTTGGGAGTGTCAGTTGATGAAAGACTCAGCATGAACCAGGAAAGAACGTGGGACAGGCTGTGGCTTCAACCTGGAGAAGAGAAGGTTCTGAGGGGACATTATAGCGGCCTTCCAGTACCTGATGGGAGCCTACTGGAAAGCTGTGAAGGGACCTTTTGTAAGGGCATGTAGCAACAGGATGAGGGGAAATGGCTTTAAACTTGAAGAGGGTAGATTTAAACTAGATATTAGGAAGAAATCCTTTACTATGAAGGTGGTGAGACACTGAAATGGATTGCCCAGAGAAGTTGTAAACATCCTCTCCCTGGGTTTGTTCAAGGCCAGGCTGCATGGGACTTTGAGCAGCTTGGTCTAGAAGGAGATATCCTTGCCTGTGGCAGGGGGTTGGAATTAGACAATAGTAAAGTGAAAAATGTTTCACTTCCAACCTTACTGATAAAGAATGAAAATATTCCTTCCTTGTCTTTGTGCACTCCTTTCTCCTTTTTCTGTGTTGTTGGTGCTGAGCTCTGTGACATGGTTTTTCATGAGCTGTGTCCAAGTATACTCCTTTGAATAGCCCCACTATCATTTCTTGCTGACTGTACCTTCTATAAAGAGTTTTTGGTCAGTTTACTTTCCGTTTAACCTCAGAGAATTTTTCATTTTTATCTTTTTCATTTTAATCCTAGTTACTACTGTAAATACTAATGCCAGCCTTTCTCACCAACTGTCCCTTATTACTGTGTTCCACCTTCTTTCTTTGCTCCTTTTTCCCCCGTGTCAACTGATTTTTATTTCAGATCTGGGTTTTTGTTTCACTGTACTAATAAGTTTCTGTGTAAATTCTGTTATAGTTCTGGTTTACTGTTTGAGTCAGTAGCAGCAAAGGGATGAAAGCATCAAAATTCATTCTAACATAGATGTGTTTATTTTTCTCCTTTGTTACAACTATAATTAGGCATAGTATAGACGATGTTTCTTATTTACACAAAGAAATGGTGAACTATTCTTGAAAATCTTCCTAAGGATCAACATGCGGTTGTTGTGGTGATTCTGGTCTCTAGTGTACTTGCTAATAATTTTTGTGGAACATTGAACAGCCTCAATACCTGTTTTTTTGTTGTTATTGTTTGTTTGTTTGTTTTTACTGCTCAGTAGGTGTGATTGATACAGGTACCTCAGGAAAAGAGGCTCATAGGAAAATGATGGAGAGATTGGAATGACTGCCAGCTGTTCCTGAAATTGAAATGCTTATGGGCACTGCTGATGGCTTGTGAAAATTGACACCAGTACTAACTTTCATCTGTAGTATTTTTTCAGAAGATGAGCCATTGCTGGTTCTTGTATCTGTTCAGAATAGAAATCTTGCTTTTCCTATTTTTCTCAAAACAAATGTGCTGAAAAAAAGTCTTAAGTTTCTAGTTGAATGTCCCAATCTGTGGCTGGTAGCTTTAGCCCCTGTAATGTCATCTGCAAAAAAACCTGAAGTTGTTCTCACCCTCTTTGTATGTGACTCTCATGTGGTCGTTTTTAGGTATCTTTTCAGCCATCCTGTAGCTCCCACTTTACCATACTAAACAAGTACTCAATTTCTATTCATAATTCTTTGCTTGACTCCAGTTCCATTGATAACTCTGGGCTCTCTCCAATTTCTGCACTTTTTTTCTTGAGCTGGGGAAGGGGAAGATGATGACAAAACCGAAGACTGTGTTAGGAGCAGTATGTTATATGCAGTGTCCTCCTAGATACTGCTGAGTAGAGGAGGGTGGTAACATGCCTGGAGTTACTTGCCATGTTCCTTCTAAAGCTGTTCAGTATGTAATCAACATTATTTTCAGTGAGAACACTGTATTTTGTGAAATACTGTTATCAATTTCGGAAGATCATAACTGAATCTTTTTCTGTACTTCATTACTGTGGAAAATGTTTCACTAAATTAACAAAAGATAACAATTGTACAAATTAGCTGGTTGGGTATGTATGAGCTGTTTTGCTGATTGTTCGGAGTATGGAAAAAGCTAAGGTCTTAGATATTTTCTCATAAAATCTTTTGTCTGTAGATATATAGCTGTTCTTGTTTTCAGTGTGATTCTAGAATTTGAATGTATTTCAGGATGAGGAAGAGCCTGAATACTCACCTTCCTTCAGCTTTAGGCATTTAAAGAGTGTGAGTTTATAAATAAAGATTTTATTTATAAACTGTAACCAAAGATTGCCCCATCTTCAGCAAAATCAGTGCCTTCATTTCTGTTCTGGTGCTCATGTCAGTCTCATCCAGCATGAGGAGTCAAAAAGTCAACAGTGCCCATTTGTGGAGGACTAGACATCTTGGGGGCTGTTCAATTCAGATGCCAAACCTCTACTATGTCCTCAGACCAGGGTCTTGTGGAGGAAATATCACTGATGGATTGTCTTCTTCTGATGATCTTTCTTGGGCATCTGACACGGTCTTTCTGAGAGACAAAATAATTAGTTAAGTGAATTTGTATCCTGACCTTTTAAGGTCATTCCTTTAGCAATACCT